CGGGGGGGGGGAGGGGGGGGGGAAGAGGAGGAGGAGGAGGTTGAAAAGGACAATGACACGAGAGGGACGGAGGAAAATGACGATCAAGGTAACGATGATGATGATGATGATCAGGCATACGAGAGGAGGAGGGAAGAGGAGAAGAGGAGGATGGAGGCAAGAGGAGACCGGAGCAAGGCGTAGAGGGAGGAGGAGCGGCGGGGGTGGAAGGAGGAGCTAGAGGAGCGGGAACGGCAGGAGAACTGGGAAGAGGAGGAGCAGGAGCGGGAGGAAGAGGACAATGAGGAGGAGGAGGTGAGGTAGTGCGGAAGATGAGATCGCAGCAAGGAGTAGAGGAGAGGTGGGGGGGCGAAAAAGAGGAGCGGGACAAGGAGGAGAGGGAATGGCAGGAAGAGCGGGAGCTGGAGAAGCGGGAACGGCAGGAGAACCGGGAAGAGGAGGAGCGGGAACTGGAGGAGGAGGAGGAGGTGAGGAAGCAGAGGAGGAGGAGGAGGAGGAGGAGGAGGAGGAGGAGGAGGAGGAAGAGGAGGAGGAGGACGAGGAAGAGGAGCAGGACGCAGGATGAGATATCCTTAAAGTTGGAATGATAGAAAGACGAATTGCATGCCCCTGCGCAAGGATGACACACATAAATCGAGAGATGGTCGAAATTAAGGAAAAAAAAGAGATCGAACATGGGGACGATGAGGAGGAGGAGGCGGTGAGGAAGCTGCGCATGCGGAGGAAGCGGAGAAAGCGGAGGAAGCGGAGAAAGTGGAGGAAGCGGAGAAAGCGGAGGAGGAGGAGGAGGAGGAGGAAGAGGAGGAGGAGCAGGAGGCGGGATGAGATATCCCTTAAAGTTGGAATGAGTAGAAAGACAATTGGCATGGCCCCTGAGCAAGGATGACATGCATAAATCAAGAGATGGTCGAAATTAAGGAAAGAAAAGAGATCGAACGTACTACTACAATTTCCCATTTTTCTGAGATCGAACATGACTTCTACGATTTCTCATTTTCTGATGACAAATAAATAAAAAATCATAAACATAAGAAGGGGAGGAGGAAGGCAAGAAGTGAGAAGAAGAAGAACAGAAGATGCGGAGGAGCTACAGTAGGCTATTGTTTGTTGTTTTCTGTTTTACTCTTGCATTTGGCTTTAGTTCGCACGTTTCTTTCATAGTATAGTAGTTGCAAGGAAAAAAAAGAAAAAAAAAAAGAAAAGGAAAATGAGCGATAGCCAACGCCACATAACGGATGTCGTCCTCCTAAGAAACGCCGCGTATAATATCATATCATCGCTTCTGAGGATTGGCAGAGGCACGAACGAAGGAAGTGCTGGCGAGCCTCTGCCGCATTGATTTTGACAAAATCGGCGATTTGGGTAATCACTTCAGAAATCAAACAGCATCATACACATGAGACCAGATAGTCGTGACCTCGAACCAATAGCAGAATTGCATCACGAGTTCAACCAAATAAGAGCACAGCAAAAGCTCATAATTGACAATGCTGGAATAGTCTCATCATCATCAACGAAGAACCAATGTCGATATCCTATCTGGCGCTCGGCTCCCAGACTACAGATGGCAGATCCTATCTAGCCTATCTACAATGCCGCTGATGACGTCAACAGGTCCCCGAAGTACGCGCAGATCTCGGCCAATGCCGTTCCCCTCGAGCACCAGGTATGTCTCTCGTATCACTCACAACCTCGATCCCCAACTCACAGATGCCACATGTACCCAAGAACCACCATGCGCCCCATCCAGCATACAGCAGCGCAGCTCGGCTATGGCTGCCTGCTCCTTCCAGCTCGCCCATGAGCGCGTGAGCGCTGGCCAGCGTTAGCGCAGCAGCGTTTGCGCAGCATGCAGCCAGTGCCCGAATGCTAGATGCGTGGGCAGGCCCTTTCCTAAATGGAAGTGGCCTGCCTGCTTGCTTGCAGCCTGGCTGCGCTGGGCCCCTGCCCAGAAGCTTCCAGTAGGTCCAGAGAGACTGAGCCCCAGTCCAAACGAAACAGGCCCTGGGCCTGTGGTGGTTTCCCCTGTCCAACTGCCCGCGGCCTGTGTTCGGTCCATGTTGCGAATCTGGCCCAGGGCCTGCCTTAGTTACATTCGAAAGAGGCAGCCTGGGCCTAGGTGCTCTCAACAAACTGGCGCTGCGCAACTGCCTGAATTTCCCCAGTTGCGCGGTGACCCCAAAAATGGCCTGTAGGCCTCGGTCGAGCCTGCCTTCACTTAGGGCGGCCGACTGTATTGAAAATAAGACCCTGTAGGGGCATATCGAGGCCTTGTGCCTCGCATAGTGAAACGGTTTTCATCAATTACGGCGACAGACGCAGAACCCAGGGCTCGATCCCTAGGCCTTCCCCTTACCCGTTTACAGTACCCGTTGACCCGTGTGCTTGAAACCACGACCTGTTTCCTAAAAGTCGTACGTTCGGCTGTCGTATATAGTGCGGTCGCGAGGTCTTGATCCGTAGACCTACAGTTCCGAAGGGTCAATACTAGGACCTGAAGCCGTAGGATCAATACTAGGACCTTCTAGAAGCCGTAGGACTGACTCTTTGTAGGTCGTAGGGGTCAGTCAGCGGCTGAGTCAGCAAAGGTCAGTCCTAGCACTACCTAGCCCAGTCGGCGGTACCCAAGGTGCACTTTGTCTAGTCAGCAAGTACCATGTGGGACTGTGCACACCCCCGGCCCAGGGTCCAAAGGCAGACCTACGACGATTCCGAAGTATAAATATAGAGGCAGTGTCAAGTCATTCAATCATTCTTCCTGTGAGCCATGCGGAAGCGCTGTCGGAGCGTCTTGTGCTACAGAGGTCTGCAGGTGCCCGAAGAAGAAGTGGGCTAAGAGGAGGAAGATGCGGCCATAGGCGCTAGCTAGTAGGAGGAGGAAGACGGCAGCCATAGCTGCCACGTAGGATAGGGTAGGACGCTGAGTGAGTGTGTGTGTGGGACATCCAAGGTGATCTGAGGGTGAGCAGGTGTGTGTGAGCATAAGTTGCTGGAGGATACAGTTGATCGGGTGGGAATCTTTGTCTGGCGCCCTGCGCCATAGCTATCAAGACAAGTTTGAATCTGAGCTGTGTTCCTGGCCACGATTTATCTCTGAGCTTTGTGTGGGCGCAACACGCCAAGTTTGAATGTCATCTGTTTGCATGCACGCTGAGCGAGTTGAGGACAAGTCTGATTGCAGTAGAATGTGCTGTGGATATTCTGCAATATTTGCCTTTTTCCTGGGTCACTGTGACTTCCCCTCTGGGTTCGGCCGGTGATGCCGTCCCACTGGGGGAGCACAACAACATTGTTAAGGGACGCCGGGCCCGGTTCCCGGCTTATATATAAAAACTACCACTTAAAAATAAAATAAAATAAAAACGGGAAGATGTCGTGTGAAAAAGTTGTCGTTATACGGACAAACTCAAAAACGGGAAGATCTCAACAAGCTTTCTTAACGAGACACGTCATACCCATGCAAGCATCCACGATACACGAGGCGAAGTCCATGTAGCTAGAGAAGTGTCCAGGCTGCCCGCAATTATGGCAGGTGCGAATGATGGAAGACGACGGAGCCAAGTTAGACATAGCTATAAAAAGAAGAAAAGAAAGGGAAAAAAAACCCGTCCCCTCTGTTTAAAGACACAAAACAAAAGGACATAAGTAAGCTCAATCGTGAAGCAGGGAAACAAACAAAAAAAAAAGTTAAAAAAGAACAGAAAAAGAGGATGTAAGGACCTGCAAAAACACAGACTGACAACACTGCTGATATTTGAGTTTGCCGCGGGAATGTGTGCCTTGCTGAGATTCCCGCGTTCTGCTAAGTTTTCAAAGTCTGTGTGTGTGCGTGCTTGCTGGTCCGTGTGCCTGTGTGAGTGTTTGTTGGGCTGATAGTGTGTGCTGCCCGCCAGGGCACTTGTTTGTTTGGGAGGCCTGTGGGGCCGATACTCACTTGTGGCCGTGACTTTGAGGGTCGCAGCAGGGAAAAACACTCAAGTGGCTGAAGGGGTAGCTTAGGGCACGCTCAAGTAGCGTAGTGCCGGTACTGGTAGCACTTGAGTAGCGGTAGGTTGAGCAGAAGAAGACAAAAGTTGGTACTTTAAGAGGCCCCGTGGCCGTAGGCCTAGGTATAGGCGGGTACCATGCCAAGTAGCCTGAGTCCATGGACTGTGCGGAAGATATCAGAGCCTGCAATGGTGTTTCCCTCCGAAAGGGAGGAGGTACCGGTTCCTTGGAGGCCGCGCTGCCTGGAAGTCACCGCCCAAGAGGCCGGTTGGCCGCTATATCTCCAGGTAGAGCGTTGGGCTGTACCTCATTTCCGGTGTGCATGTTTGGCCGTCATGCTGCTTGAGCGGGCGCTAGTTCTCGGAGTGCCGCTGGAGAAGGAGTGCTGGCTGTTACAGCGCTAGGAGGAAGAAGGCCGGGAGCTCTCATCTTGGCTATGGAGGAGCATTGCCAGTAGGAGGAGGAGGAAGAAGGAGATGACGGAGGAGGGTGGCGAGGTACTTACCTGGCTATGGAGGTCGGCATCTTCATCTTCTTGGCTGGCGCTGCTGCTGGAAGGCTCTAGTTACTAGTTAGGGTACGTTGCTAGAAGAAGGCATCGAGGCAGAGCCCGGCATGGCGGCCTGAGAAGCAGAGTTCATAGCTGACTTTTCGTTGTCTTTTGCACATCAGGGGTTGGTCCCTGATGTCCGCCATAGCCAGTACATGCCAGAGGAGGAGGAAGATGGGGCTCATGGCTATGGAGGACCTCACATTGTGGTAGCAGTAGAAGAGGGATTTGGACATTGATTCTGGTTCAGCCATTTGTCATTATGTTTTTTTGTTGTTGTTTGAATAAGAGACGGGGAGATAAGGAGGAGGAGTTGGTTGCTGAGAGAAGAAGGAATTGTCATTGGTCCTTTGCTGGTGCACGTCTTCTTTCTTCTTCTTCTTCTTTGGTCTCTCTCCTCTCAAGTTCATTCATTTCTTTTTGCAATTGGACGACATTGTACTTCCTTGTGTATTTGCACTTCGGAATTGGCCAGGATCATAACAAGGAAGAAGAAGAATCAAAATCAAATCACCTACAAGCCGATTGGTGTGAAGACTCCACCACTGGTTGAACCGCAGGTAATATTGAACACATTGGCAGAAGGAGGAATGCAAGGATCAGCTGGCTCCAGTACGCCTCCAGTATAGTTCATGATCTCCCCCAAAGCCTGCACTGTACAGTGCTCAACAAACCAGATACAGAAACAAAGCCCGCCAGGTTTTCAGTAAAATGATGACCAATTCACTTTTTTTTTTTTACATAAGAAAAAGGGGCCATACCAACAGGGCCTACCTTAGTTGGTACGCACATGAACTGTTGAAACACAGACCAAAGTTCGAATCCAGATACAATCAGATGACCAGAACAAAATAATTCTGAATTACCTGGTGCTGGTCCGTTCAATGACGATAGGTCAAGGCAGCTGCCCTTTCTTTTCTTTTCTTTTTTTTTCAAGGGGCCTGGCAGCCTTTCCTGTAGGAAGAATGGAGATGGGCCAACCCCCCAGATCGATCCCGGCATGGGTATTCAAGAGTGAAGAATTCCAGCCGATGGTGCTGCGCTTTTGGGAAGATTGGGCAAGCAATTTCCCTCAGGACAACCTGCTAGACCACAAAATGACGGCAACACAAACCCTTAGAGCAAATCTGGCCAGGCAGCTGCGGGGCAGCTACCTTGCACACCAAAGGACGGGGAAGGAATATGCGCACAGGATGGAGAAGCTCGATCCCGGCCCCGGAAGGGAGCAAACAGAGGAGGAGGAATGGTGGGCGGAGCGTGCAGAAGCGACTCGAGAGTGAAGGGAGTTGCAAGAGGAGGCGGCGCTCAAATGGGTTAGGCGTACGAAGGAGGCCTGGATATCAGTAGGGGAGCGAATGTCGCGGCAATTTTTCAGTACAGTGGGCACGCGGAAAGCAATGCCGGCAATGACGGCAATGGATCATCCATTCAACAGTCAGAAGGACAGGCAATGCACTACACGCCGTACACGGGGTATTCTAAAACACACTACGGACTTCTATAGCCAACTCTTGACAGAGGAAGAGCAGTGGACATCAGTAAACATGGCTAGTGAACCGGAGCAACAAATCGGGAAGCACATCCAAAGGCAACTGGACCTCGAAACCACATGCAAATTGGAGGAGGATATCAAGCCAGAAGAGGTAGAGAGGGCTATAGCGCATCTCAGCAGACTCACGGCGGCCGGGATGGAAGGTATTCGAGTGCAGACCCCCGCAACTTTAGCATATGCCAATTGAAGGAGGATATCAAGCCAGAAGAGGTAGAGAGGGCGATAGCGGATCTCCCCAGACTCAAGGCGGCCGGGCTGGATGGTATTCCAGTGGAGCTGTACAAAGACCTCCACAACTTTTTTGTGACCCTTCTGACAGCGGCATACAACGAAGCATTGAGACAGGGCTCCTTTCCGCAGGGTTTCACAGATGCATATATAATCCTGCTCTACAAGAAAGTACCTAAGGAGGATGTGCATAACTGGAGGCCATTATCCATCCTCAATGCGCTATACAAGATTCTGGCCAAAGTGCTGGCAACCCGCCTGAAGGAGGTCTTACTGCACATCATAGATCATACCCAAACAGGCTTCGTGGTTTGCCGACAGATTCTGTCGAGCGTGCTGATCACCCAGCAAATCCTGGAAGAAGACCAGTGCACAGGTCAGACCTTCGCATTCGTATCCATAGATCTCGAAAAAGCATACGACAGGGTACGGTGGGAATTCTTATTACAAGGAATGGCACGGCGGGGAATTGGTGGAACATTTCGTGGATGGGTTACGAGCCTGCTGAAGAGAAGCTCGACGGTGATGCAGGTCAATGGGGTAAGGTCAGATAAGCTCGCTGTCCCTCGGTCCGTTACCATTGTCCCCAGCTCTCTACGTCATCTACATCAAATCCTTGCATGAGCTACTGAGAGAGGACGACAGGAGCATGGGCTTGAAGGCGGGGCCAGCAGCTGAGCTGAGGTCCACGGTCTTTGCAGACGACACGGGAGCAGTGATCCATCCCACCACCCAGCAGCTACAGATACTAAAAGAAGACCTGGCAACCTTTTGCAGGTATTCGGGGGCGCGGGTTAACTGGTCGAAATCAAGGGCCATCCTTCTGGTGGAGCCCCCGGAGGGATGGGAGGTCCCGACAGTGACAGGCGAGGAGAGAATTAAGTTTCGGGGGCTAAACTTGAGACCAAGCTTTGGGGGAATAGAGCACATGGCAATGCGGGCACGGCAGCGATGACCTAACTTAAGGCGTGGAGCGCAAGAGGGAGCATCGGTGTCTTTGTAATATCCCTGGTCATCAAGAGCTCGGTCTTGGCCACATTGTGGTACACCGGGGCCATGCACAAGCCAGGAAAAAGGACGTTTAGATGTATCAAAAAGGCAGTTCACTCGCACTTGTGGTCTAACAACGCCAAGGCAGAAGACTCTATTCCCAGGGTCGCATGGACGAAACTGATCCAACCAAGGTGATTTGGAGGCTTGGGTCTTTTGGATCCTCGGCGGCAAATTCTTGCACTGCAAATACGACATCTCATCTGGGCCCTGCTGCACACAGAGGGAGAGACTAGGCATCAAGTTACCCAAACCCATCTGCCCTACGCACTCCAAATACCGGAGAGCTCGTGGATCTATGTTTAGTGGATATTTATCGATAGGCCATGTTCGCAGGGACACGGTTTGGACCACGAAACTAGCTCTATGGAAAAAAGTGAACCTGAGATGTCGGTTGCCGGAAACTGCGGACGCGGTCTTTAATCAGCAGCTCTTTGGCAACAGGTTCATCTGCGATATAGCAGGTGAACCGTTCCCATGGCAGGGACCACGAGGAGCATACGGCTGGAAATGGGCGGAGCGGGGAGCTTACAAGGTGGGCCATCTTTGGGACGAAGGCAGAAAGGATTGGCGCACTGACGATGAGATGGAAGCAGCCCTGCAAGGATGAATGAGGAAGAGGCAGAGGATGGCAGAGCTGAGTGCAGCCATTTCCCCCCAATGGGTGGGGGGGAAACCCGAGGCCAGACAGGGTATATAGGGTGGAGCACTCCGTGCAGGGTGACAGGTTAGAAGTCACCGAATGGAGGGTAACGCCGGGATTAGCATATGAAGGGTTGGGGGGGCCCTCTATGGGAACCAGGGATGAGAAGGAAGGGAGGATTGACACTGGTAAGGAATGGAGTGGAGATAGTGCTAGTCTGTGAGGGAGGAAAAGATGCAAAGGGACAATACCGACCGTTCCAACTAGCACACAGGCTGCGGGACCTGATGTGGAACCCAAGGGACTGGGAATGGTCACCTCAGGGGATGCACAATAAGGCCACGCCACTGCAAGACGTGACCACGAAAAACATCTACACAATTTGCTGATGGAACCAATCAACATTTGTGAGGAGTTAAGGAACACATGGGCCAAGAAGGACTGGCTTCCCGATGCTTACCTTGGCTGGTGGACTCAGCAAAGATGGAACGAACAGTGTGCTATATTAACAGCTTTGCCAGACCAGAAACAGGCAGGACTGTTGTGGCAAATTTACCATCTGGCAATCCCGACAGCACAATGGCTAGCTACTAAGAGTCAGCACCAGGATCAGCTATGTGCAGCAAGGTGTGGCCAACCGGAGACGATCCCTCACCTGTTTGTACGATGCCCCCAACTCCAGGCTTTTTGGACATGGCGGGGTCGGGAAGTTGCAGGTAAGACGCCGCTGGAAGTTACTGAAGGGGATGACACAGCTGTCCTATTGGGAGCGTTAATGAAAGTTGATAGGCCAGCCTTTGGAGACCTGCTGTCTCCAGAGATGATTCTGGCAGCGGTGCTGTGGGCTGTATGGACACTGCGAAACGAGCACTGCAGACAGGGAACAGCACCTTCACTGCAGGCATATCAGGAAAGAGCGATGGAGAATTTGAGGATTGTCCTGCAGCCAGATTTTCGACGTTGATATGGGGGATGTGTGAAGGTTGAAACGGCTTTCACCTTTGCAGTAGCGGATGCAGATCCCAGGGCTCGATCCCTAGACCTCGCTCCCCTGTGTGTTTGAACCCGTAACCTGTGTCGTAGGAGTCAGTTGTTGTCTGTCGTGGGCCAGTGTGTCCGTCGGGTATTGAACCGTAGGTCTGTTGCGTGGGGGTCAAGTTTGTAGCAGAGGTCGTAGCTGTAGTAGTTCTGAAAGGTCAAGGTCGTAGCTGCTACAGTCCTGAAAGGTCAAGGTTGTAGCTGCTACAGTTCCGAAAGGCCAAGTTTACGACTTCCGGAAGGTCTGGAAGTGGCCTTTCCAGAATTTTTACGTTTGGCCAGAGGCAAGTGAGCAAGTGGTGAGTCCACCCATGTTGAGTCAGCGGTACCCAGTCCCAGTCTCACCTAGTCCAGTCAGCAAGTACCATGTGGGACTATGTGCACCATGGGCCCGGTGGAAAGAGGCAGACCAGCGACTTCCAGAGGTATAAACCAAGAGGCAGCGTCCAGCCATTCATTCATTGCTGCGTAAGCCATGTGGAAGCGCTGCTCCAGCGACTTGTGCGAGGTGGTCTGCAGTCGCCCGAAGTGGAAGTGGGCTGTGAGGAAGACAGTGTGCCATAGTGAGTAGTAGCCGGCTGCCACAGCGGCCATAGCTGGTGTTAGTACTAGTGTGTGTGAGTGCGTATGCGTGTGGGATATCCAGGGTGATCCAGAGTTGAGTGAGTGCGAACAGTGGTGTTGGACAAAGAGACGAGGGTCGGGATGTACAGGCGCTGATGCGCCATATGTAACGAGCGTGAGGCTGAGGGTGAGCCGAGGGAGAGGAGAGAGAGGGAGAGAGGGAGAGCACACACACACACTCACTCACTCGACACGACTGACTCGGACTGAGGATCAGACGCAGACACAGTGGCAAGGCACAAAGTCGAAGTCTTGGATTCCGAATGCCGAAACAGCAAGTCACACTGAGTACGAGTACAGCAGCAGGGAACTGGTACGAGACTGGTCCCCGTACCGTACGGGGAACCGATATAAGTACCGGTGACACGTACAGTACTAGGGGCATTTCTGCAAAGGCCCCGAAGGCAGAACTGAAAAATGCAGTATTTGAAAGTGGCGCCCGAATTGCAGCAAGGCGCCAGTTGTCCAAAATCCTACGGTACCAAAGGAGGGGTTTGGAAAAAGGGTGCCAGGCCGAAA